TCTGTACTGTTCCAGGCTTGCTCCTCTTTGCCCCCGTCTTCGTAGCAACCAAGATTATCAGCATTCAAAAGGCAAACACTGCGCTGGCGGGCTCAACTGTCAAAGTTCGAGGCCGCGACGTCATGGCCACGTGGAAGATTCTCGTCGCCATGGGTCTGGCTCCTACCCTCTATCACTTTTACTCCATTATTATCGTGTTCAAGGTCTGGCAGGACAGGTTATGGGGCTACGTTCCTATGTGGGTGCCTTTGTGGCTGGCGTACATTGGCATCTGGCCAGCCATGATTGGCCTTACCTTTGCAGCCTTGCGTTTTGGCGAGGTTGGCATGGACATTTTCAAGTCACTTCGACCCTTGATCCTCTGTTTGGTGCCCAGTTCTGACTTTAACATTCATACTCTGCGGCTCCGACGGGCAGAGCTGAGTGCCCAAGTCACGGATTTGATCAACACACTGGGCCCTGAAATGTTCCCCGACTTTGACAAGACTCGCCTTGTGCCGGACGTGTCCAGGCTAGAGAGCGGTGGCGCCACTCCCGAGAGAGCGCACAAGCGCAAAGACAGCGACCAGTCCAACACAAGCGCCGACGTGGAGACCCCTCCGATGCTTTCTCGTCGCAGCACGACGCAGTCCAGCCGTGCTCTTCCACGAAACGACTCCTTCAGCAACATTGGTACTGTCGGCATCTTCTCCACTCGCCCCCCATCCCGATCGAGAAGCAGGTCACGGTCTAGTAGTGCTGGAGGAGGCTTCGGCTCGGGGGGCTTCCCCATCAGCGGGTTTACCACTCTGGATTCTGCCGAGGGCTTCAACGAGGCGACAAGAAAGATTCGAGAGGCGATGAAGAATCGCAGGAAGAAGTCAGACAAGCTGCATGCAGCGGATGATGACGACGATGAGGACAGCGAAGAGGAGGGATATGACGAGGCGAGGAAGAAGAATATCTAATCGACTTGAAATGTGAATGGCAATGGCAGACGAGTTCTGTTTAGACATCCCTTTTGCCCTGAAGAAGAAAAATATGGCTCGAGCTGGACATGGATGGATACGTTTTTGATACAATGTGACCGATTATGTTGTGTATTTTGTACATTTTCACAACTTTGTTGCGGGAAAATCTTGTCTCAGTCGAGAGATGGAGCGAGTTATGATGTTGCACATTGCTGTTTTGCCATTTTTCGCCGTGCGAGGTATGCATGTGGACGTTGTAACTCCTATGAAATGACGACGATGTCAACTGCTTCTAGTATTAGAATTTGTGCTAGCGTTTGTTGGAGGAAAACCCGGTCCTCGGAGTACCCCCCACCAGAGTCACCAGAGTTGAAGCATTACAAATGCTTTGAAAACTGTCAACGGCTACGAGTAGAATGGTGGTTGTAGTTGATGACGAAGCTCTGCGCCCCTGGCATTATGCAATTTGCTGTTCCTCCACACCTTAACGCCGAGTCGCAATTACATACATAAATACCTGCCGAGTAGGACACCTTGGTCTTGGGCAGCCAGCCAATGGAGCATTCCGGGACGGTGCTGACATGACGTTACCTTGTGCTGACCTACGGAGTAGCTAACGGTTGGACCCTTTATTATTAGTACTCCCTACGGAGCGGAGTACAACTAACGGAGCTAAGGAGTTTCATGCTTGACCGGCTGCGAGGGGGTTGGGCTTGTTTGGTGGTGACAAGACGAACATTTGATGCAAAAGGTGCACCGTAGAGAGTGACAGTGCAGCACGCGGGATGACGCCGCCATCAATCCATCTCAATATGCATCGATGTCATATCGGCGGTCATTAATCATTTATGGGGTCACACAGAATGCAGGATGCAGGATGCAGATCGCCAGAGTGGTGTGGAGATGGATGTGTTGGCGGCGTCCTCTCACGGATCTGATAAAAAAAAAGCCGTTGAGTGGTTAGACAAAACGTTGGGGCTCTGGGGCTCGGAGATACGCGGCGTATTCTCAGCAGCACAGACAGCCCTGGGACGGCCGGGCAGGAAACACGCGGAGAATTGCGTGTCAGCAGGCGTGAGATTGGGCCCTACAGACCAGCTGCAATTCAGCCATAAATTCAAGAAGCCCGCAGCCGCCAACAACTCTGCGCCTTTTATCCTGGCGATTCTTGACGATAAAGCAGAGCACAGCCTTGACAGAGGAAAAAAGCGCACTGCAGCACGAGGCGCGAGGCGCGAGACAGGAGGTGGGTGTTTTCTCGGATCTGATAAGGGATGCTGCATATGACGACAGCGCCGCTTGGCTGGGTGGCACTTTCCTTTCATAATGTTCACAAATCACAACCCCGCGCGGCTCAGCGTCACAGCGGTCCTGACTTGGTTCACTAGGTCGTTTTTTACCCCCGCCATCGTCCATCCCACGCTGTCCGACGTCGAGAATTTCCAACCACACCCCCGGCGAAACTCGATCCCATTGGAACAGAAATTGCCACATTTCAGAGACTAGGGAAAATAACAGTGCTTCGTCCCTGAGAGAGAGAGAGCCGTCGCCCCCTTCGGCTCGCTAGCCCGGCGGCCCCGATCTTTCCACAAGGGAACCGTTTGGGAATCCCCCAGCAAGGCCGAAACCGAAACGACCCATTCTGTCGGAAGCACTCAGTCCACAATTCTCCGTATAAACCCCCGGGGCTTGGTTTTTTCTGTCGCCTTTTTTCCTTTTCTTCTTTTTTTCACAATGTCACCCCATTCTACAACGCCCCGGTCCCTCCCGCGCATGCCCGTGAAGCAGAAAATGGCCGTCTCGCTCAAATCACTCATGTCGTCTGTCCTAGGCGGCGGCAAGGCATCCACGCCTGCCTACGACGAGCTGTTTGAAAAGACGGACCCGCAGAAGGACGGGGAGGAGTGCCTGCACGACTGTGATGGCTGTACGGTACGGTATCCGAGGGGATTCAAGATTGATGAGGAGGATGTGCTGTACGGGCAGGTCAAGGGGTGGAGTACGCATGTGTTGGTGGGTACGGGGAAGACGGACTGGGTGAGAGATGTGGGGGATGAGAAGGGGAGTGTCATGGAGGCTATTAGTAAAGCGGATGGACCGACGAACGGGGTGAGTTTTGTGCCGTTTGCTGTTTGCTGTGGTGCTGTTGTGAGAGTCATGAGGTGTCCCGGGGGATGAGGCTTCATCATGCCCATCTGATAGATCTCATGGACCTATGGATGTTGAAGCTTCAGAAAATCGTCTTCACGTATTTACGACTGAAAGGGACACCATCTCACTCATCGTGTGCTTAATTTTTTATGAGACAGTCATGGCTAACGCTTCTTGCAGAGACTCATGCTTTCGGCATCAAATATGCCCACACCACACGACACAAGCGACTACTCAGAACCTACAACTGTTCTCCTGCTCCCTGCCTTCACCCTCGTGGAAAACGTCCACCCAACCAATGTCACTACTCTCATCACCGAGCTCATCAACAAGGCGCCGACAACCATGTCACCGCTCACAACTCCTTCCCTCCCCAAGTCGCTACCCGGTCTGGATGCTGATGTGCCCGTCCTGGAAACAAAAGCCTGCCCTCACAGCGCCGTCATTCTGATGTGCAGCCACAGAACACGAGATGCCCGGTGTGGCCAGAGCGCGCCGTTACTACGGAAAGAGTTTGAACGGCACTTACGACCCCTGGGACTGTATCGCGATCTGCACGACGAGAGACCAGGTGGCGTCGGCATTTACTTCATCAACCATGTTGGTGGTCACAAGTATTCTGCTAATGTCATGATTTACCGGAGACCGAATGCTTTTGGGCAAGATGAAGTTGATGAGGCGGCGGGACATTCAGATTCAACAGCGACAAATGGAAGCTCAAACGGCACCAACGGCGCTTCCAATGGTACCTCGAACGGCACCTCGAATGGCCATGGTGCGAAGCCCGACGTTGGTGCCGCGCAAGGCATCTGGTTAGCGAGAGTAAAACCCGAGGACTGCGAGAATCTTATTAGATATACTGTTCTGAAGGGCAAGCTGGTCAAACCGGAGAGCCAATTACGGGGTGGTTTTGACAGAGTGAAGGGACTAACGAGTTGGTGATGCACAAAAGAATTTGAAGGGCCGTGAGGCCATCGAGATGTAATGACGGGGAGAGAGGGAGAAGCTAATTCGGGACAACATGTGAGAACAAGACATTATGATAGACACCAAGACTTGTCTGCATATATCCTAGTCTAGCTCTAGAGTATGCCACATACGACCACAGCCGCCAGTAGAACTCACGATCCCGTCTGATCTCGTACGATAACCTGGCGAGCGCTGGATTAGTAGTTGGGTCGGTGACGACCAGCGAATACCCAGTGTTGTATGTTTATTTTTTGCCACCTTGAAGCCTATAACAGGTTGCTACAGCGTTACATGGAGCGCCATATGATTCTCACAAAAATACATGCGACACCACATGACGATTCCACCGGACACGGCGTCTCAGAACTGGCAACTCGCAAGCCTCACAAACAAGCCCCTCTTCAATGTCTGAGACAAATGCCAAGTTTGGCACCCGTTAACAACATACAGCACAGGTGAAAGCATGTCAAGAATGGTATCCCAGCTATACCTGCTAACTGGGTTCGCAGATGTCCAGTGATACTTATGTAAGTGGTTACAAAGCGACGCAACGGTCCGCCGCATCATCCTCCGTCCAATGCTCCGTCTATCTCAGTTGGTTGATAGGACCTGCCATGCCGCAAGTTCCAGTTGCAGAGACGATGAACGAGGTGCATTTTTTTTTTGGAAAATCCGCGGATTTGTCCCGACGACGACGTTTCATGCTACGGAACCCGACATTGCAATATTCGGGGGGCATAAAAATCAGAAAACACGGCATGTTTATTCACTGGAGATCCTGAGGACTAGGATGTAACAAAAACCCAACTCTATTGATGCATTCTATACAAAAGAAAAAGAAGAAACAAGAGAAAAACGCACACGCCATACAGAAAAAGAAAAAAAAACCACGTCTTTCTTCACATCCCGTATTCACCCAGAAAGTCGTGACTAGCAACTTGCATTTCCAACAAAGGCGTAGGTAGCCGGCTGGTTGCCCCACCCTGGCATGGGGGAAAGAAGCGGCTCCGTGTTGCTTGTCATAATCCCATTTACATCGTTCAGAGTCGTCGGGTCCAGGAAGTCAGAGAACTGATACATGTCGTTGTTCCCTGCGTCTGCCGAGTTAAAATGGAAGTCGTTGATCGGTCCGGTCAGGCTCGAATCATTGGTTCTACAGTTACCGATACCGGCGGCGTCGGGACACGCCGAAAGGGGCACAGTGAGGGCGTTGTTTTGCTCTTTGTATGAAGCTGCTCGTTGCATTTCGCGACACTCCTGGGCCGGTGTTTGTATGCCATGCAGCGCTTTGCATGCGGTGTCTAGCGCTTGGAGTGCGTCGGACAAGTGACGTTGCAAAGCATTTTTGTCTATACCTTCGTCGAGAGGGGACTGCGAGGCTCGTGTGACGGCGTTCTTGAGCTGCGGGGAAGACAATTCCTCCAGGTGTTGGTATGATTTCTTTAGTCCATCCGTCACTTTTTCAAGCTGCGGGAGGTGTTTCTGCAACATGTGTTTGGCAACGCCGGCCACGACTCCCCTGGCTCCACTGTTGACGCGCTCCTGCCGCTCATTCAAGGAGGCCTGCTCGTCGTTCAAGCTCTTGACAAGTCCACCAAGCGTAGATTCGAAATTGTCGTCAATGTCTGCTGTGGCCTGCCATGGTGCCGGGGTTTCGGGGGATTGGTCCTGATGACACTCGTCATGATAAATAACTTCTTGTATTTCGTAGTCGGGACTAGTTTCCTGGGGATATGTATATCCCTGCAGGCCTCCCTCATTCTGAGACGAACCGCCTGGTGTGCTCCCGTCGTATTCATTGCCGTCCTCATTGCCGTCCTGATTGTCGCCCCCCATGCACATGTCGAGCTCGTCGTCGTCGTTGGAGACGCAAGATAGTACACTAGGGGTGACATATTGGTCCTCCATTTTAAAGGTGGAAAGGCGAAATGATGGAGATGGATCTGCCAGGCTGCCTTTTCACCTAGATAGAGTGAGAGTAGAGGAAAGAAAGATATGGAGAGAGAGAGAGAGAGAGGGAGAGGAAAGATGGTTTGCGAGGAACAAGACCTTCTTGACGAGGGATACGGCGCGGTCATTTATACCATTTCAACGGCCGAAAATAATAAAGAGAAGCAGACTCGCACGTTATTCATCTTCGCGCTGAGCACCTTTAGAGAAGGACAATGTAGAAGCAGCTTTCTCTTTGGAAACTATGAAAAGGTCACCAAAGCCTCGTCGTGAACAGAACAGAAACCAAACTAGGTGGGTGTGAAGAAGCGCACAGCACGCTTTGTTCGATGTGAATATGACACATGACGGGTTTTTTTTTCAATCTGCTTTCACAGGTTTCAGAAAAAGGCTTCACGAAAGGGACCATTGCGAGGACAATCACTACTATTGCACAATGCGAGCGGTGCCCAGTACCAAGGTGTAACGTATTATGCAGTTGCTAGCTAAACACTCACTGAAAACAGGCAATGACTTGTTCTGAACTGGCACTCTAACTGTGGTATTGAAGAGACAGGGCTTTCTTCATCCTCTTTATTGCAGATGTTTGACTAGGCTACAAATCAACTTGAACCATGGACTCAATGTCCCCCTTTGTCCCCTTGTAGGATATGCGCAGTCAAGACGTGCAGCTCCGTTGTTGAAACGATTCAAAGACAAGAAACAAAAACAAAAACACAAAAAAACCGTTGGTGGTCTGAAATTGTACACGCTCAAGTGAGTATTTGCAAAACTCCCATGAATCTTCCTCCTCCGTGTTGAACTTGATGCCGAAATTGTGTGTGCACCGCTCCATCAAACCCGCCGGTCGGGCAATCCTCCAAAGTGTCCAGCCACCCTTCCAATATTGACACTTTTTTCTAAAAAAAAAAAAAAAAGTCAGTCTTCGGTAAGACGATATAAGGACGTGTGTACTCACCGAAAGGCAAGAACCGATGCGCCAACGACGAGGCTTCAACGCCACTCGGTTGCAGCAGAGTCAACGACCTGCGTCGGAGGACTCTGTCTTCCCATCGCCATGATCGAATGGGATAATGTATACGCAGGACCCATCAGGTTTGAATCCTTCAGGAAGTTGCGTTTCGGGGGTCTTGTCCCTCATGCGCTCCTCAGAGAGGGTAGGCTGGTCGTTTTTCGGCTTCTTTGTGTGTATCAGGACGATGGGGAGCTTCCTTGTGTATTCTGTCTTCCCATCGCCAAGATCGTATGGGAGAATGTATTCGAAGTAGTGTCCAATATCGTATCCTTCAGGAAGTTGCATTGTTTCGGGGGTCTTTTCCCTAATACACTCCTCAGAAAGGGTAGGCTGATCGTTTTCCGGCTCCATTGTGTATAAGACGACGACGGTGGAAATAAAGGCTTTGAGGTGCTCAGGCGCAGTGGGTGCAGTAAATGTATTCGCCAGGGTTGTGCAAAAGAAGACAAAAGGGTAAAAGAGTTAAAGGGCAAAAGAAGAGAAGACGGGATACAAGGTCGGCCACGGGCATCGCCGCATTATATAGACGCAGGTGATGGGCATTCACTGCCTCGTGCTTTGCTGAACAAGAAAGAAATAGCCTCATGTTGGGACATTCATCGAGAGGTCATATGCTCGCTCACTTTTTTACAACAAGGGACACTTTGCGTGTGTTTGATGTATACGGTCGCTGTTCAGCCGTTGGTGGGCTCACTGCTGGTCTTTGTTGCAGTCACGGGGCACGTTGCCGGTTGCCGATGAAGATTGAAAGGATCAATGATTCTTCAAAGCCAAGTAGTTCAGTACGGGGAGACGTGTGCTCGCCGAGGATGCCATCAATGCACTGTTATTAACATTCGTTGTTCAATCTATATCGACACCATATGCCTCTTCACCCCCATCCGTTCAAGCCATGTCCTAATCTACAAACCCAATCAACCTAATGCTTTTTCCAAAAAGTTCCCACCATGTAGATAAAAAATAGAGCCCATATTCGCTGGCACAAGTGCTAAATAAATGCCTGAATGTTCATCACGTCATTACCACAGCCCCCCCATCCATATATGCCCAGTTCTTTAGATCCATCAAATGACATCAAGTAAAATCGCTCGTACCATCGCCTCCTCGCACGGGTCCCTTCAAACACAGAGCGCAGGGGTATATGCTCTTCTCGGCAGGGGCCAGCGCGCGCAGCCCTTCGGGCAGTGTCGTCGCCAGTGTCAGTCCACAATGTCCCTCGAGCCGCTGCTGCTGCTGCCGCTCGACGACGTGACGCTGAGGTCCCTCCTGACCGTGTGCACAATCTTCCAGATGCCGAATGCCACAGCGGCGAGCACAACGAAGAGGACAATGATGATGATGGCGATGACGTGGTTGCGCTGCACCATGGTGGCGGTAGGACCGGGCCCCTGATGCCAGGGCCGTGAATAGGTTTCGAAGGTTCAATGTTTGGCCGAAGATGGAGCAGCAGTCAGGAATGAAGAGTTTCTTTCCCTTTCAATGGCGTAGCTGCAGAGTGCCAAAAATAAAAAAAAATTACGTTTGGCGTTGGCGTGGAATGGGTAGTATGGCGTGAAGCTATTCGCGAGCCAGGATGCGGCAAGACACTTGGTTTGCACCTCGAATAAAAAAAGTCTACTCCGTAGTCGTCGACGGATTCTGGAAGCGGCGCAGGCACGAGGGAAAGCGAGCAAGCTAGCAGACTGGAATGAAGCAAGGTGGAAAACGGACGGCGCAGGCAATGCTGCGTGCATGTCACTCATATAGCTGGTTGCCCCGCCACCGACTTTCTGCGCAAGTCAATAAAACGGATGGCTGGCGTCAATTGAACGTTGCGAAAGGAATCGAGACATGAGCTAGCACTCGGGTACGGAGTACTGCAAGGACCAGGGACAGGCGCAGCCAGGGGTCTACCGAGTGCCGTTGTGGGGCCATGGGCTGGAGCATTGGCCAGTGCCCAGCGAGCTGTCAAGGTTCAATGTTGGCTCGCCAACCTCCAACCTCCAATGCACCCGCTGCGGGTAGAAATATGTGTACATGTACGGACTACGGACTACCATTCAACTCAGTTCAATGTTGCCGCCAGACCCAACTAATGGCCACAACATCTTTCGCCACAACAGCAAACAACAGTCGGTCCCTTGTGAATGGGTGAAATTCATTTTCCCCCTAAAACTAAAAAGAGCCAATTCCATCTACTCTCTCCTGTGCTACCTACTACTACCATGGCCTCGTCCACCCGTCCACCCCATGTGCCAGCTCGCAATATACCTGCTGCGAAATGCTGGCACATGTTGGCCCTTGAGTAAAAGCCTGTTTACCATAAAGTGATATTGTCCGAAGCGCCACGTCCGTTTCGTCCGCAACCTAAAGCCCAGTCCAGCCAAAAAGCACGGCGGATTGCTCTCGCCAACTCCAACCAAGTCAAATCACCAGTCTCTCCCCCTTCAGTCGCCCTGCGCGGCCATCCTCTCATCATCCCGAATAATCTTGACGTGTCGCTCATAGAACTGCAGCATCTGTTTTTGCTATCCGTCAGTTGTTGCACGTCTTGCCGCCAGCCACCCCAACCAACACTTGGTAGCTGCACGTACCTTTTGAGGACACTTCTTGTAAATGACAGAGGTCTCGTGCTTGGTCTTTTGCCCATTCTTCCATATAAGGTACACGACAAGCTTCCCACTCCCCTCGTCCTCGCAAGCATCGATGGTGGCAATTTCGTCTTCCCAGGAGCCCGCCGGTGGCTGCCACGGTTTCGCGCTGGCCGGCGGTGCCGAGTCACTGGGGTGTGTGCCGTTCTTTCGCGATCGCTTGGCCTGAGTCGCCGCCGCGTTGGAGGCCCCTCGCCCTCTCTTCTTCCCCCTCGACGCCTTCTCTGTTTGGTCGAAAATGTTCTCTCGTCCACCAAGCGAGCGAAAATACTCATCGAGAATTTCCTGCGCAGATTCTCTGCGAGGGCACGTAGCAAATTAGCCATCGCGATCAATGCTGCGGTCCCAAACCATATACATGCACTCACTCCAGGTTCTCTTCGGGCTCCCATGTCAAGTCCTTCTTGGAATTGTAACCTTCCCATTTCACCTGAAAGCGCAGACTGCCCTGTTGGACCTTTGTTAGAAACTGGACAATGATGTCTTGTAATCGGTTACGCCACTAACATCTTCATCGATCATGTGGCTTTTGATCGCTTCGACGATAAACCTAGGCCCGCGTTAGCAAACATACCAACCCTGCCGTAGGAAAGCGTAAAGCGCGTACACGTCCTCCTCAAGATCCTCATCCTCCTCCTCGTCTTCTTCACCGACCTCACTGCCTCCATTGGCAGCTACTGGGCCCGGTTCGTCGTCGCTTCCTGTGCTGCGCGCATCGTCGGCAAGCGATCGCGAACTTCGGGAAGATCGCGTTGTCGTCGGTTGGGGCTCCACGTCGGAAGACTCATCGTCGCTGAGCGCTAGAGAATCGTAAGTGCATGAAACACACGAGCAGCGCATCGTAATCAGTCGGAGCCATCGCCATCACGGTCATGCGAGCGAGAGCTTCACGCCACGACTGGCGATGGAGAAACAGGGCAAGGAGGGCCACTCGTCTCCGAATGCAGGCTTGTTTTCCCAGTCTATCACGTACCTGGAGGCATTTTTGCAAAATTGGAAAAGTTTCCAAACAGGCGGTTCAGGGGCTGTAGAGAGATGAAGCTGCGCATATGTCGCCAATCGGAATGATTGAGCCAGACTTCACGACGGTTTGTTTCCGTCAAACGCGGTCGGCTGATTAGCTTGTGGAGTAACCAGTATAGCGCGACATAGCCACAGGTGGCTGACGAAGCAACTCGCTCAAGTCACGTGATGTGGCATATAATTTCCTTGGGCGAGCAAGCTTCCAGGCGAAAACAAACATAACAAACCATGAAACTCTATCCTCCAGCTTGTTTCTCCAAGATTGAGTTACAGCTGGTGGAAGCTCCTTACCGACCCCAATATTTTGTAACGAGGCCCGTCGCGAGGGCACCAAGTTCTCTCCGGCCGCTGTTGGATCAACACAGCTTGGCCTCCAAATATCTACAGCTACTCCCCATCAGCCGATGACATGGCCGCACAACGCACAATATCAGCCAGAATTACTTTCGATATCATTGCAACGTCTCTTCACATGGTGCCTTGTTCTATGCCATGGCTGCCCAAATGCCGTTTCGGCGAGGCCAAGTCTGAAAGAGTGGCGTTCATCGTCTGAGAGAACTGGTTGGCAACCAAACAGGGCTCTATACTGCATCTTGTTGCGCTTTGCGATTGTATGCCTCCTCTTCATCAGCAAGCACTCTTGACCCAGAATCCCGAAGGCCTCCAATTATTCTGCACTGTATTATTCCAGGATCCGTTGATTTCTACCTCCCCGGTGAATCAACAGGCTCTGCAACCTCCAAGAGCCTTTGCGATGCTGCCGATCAAGCCTAGAATGACGGAAGCAATCGCGCCAAAAGTGAGGTTCGCTCCGACGTAGACGGATTTTCTTGACGATGTCCTGGTAGCATGTTATGTCTTATGCCCCAATTAACGGGGTTACTGGCCGCACACTAATCTCACCAAAGAATGAACCGACAAGGGTTTAATCAAGTGACACCTGGCGAACAGTGATGCCGCTTCCCCCCGAAGTAGGAAATGAATGGTTCTGGGTTCATAGGCGCCAAGGCATACAGGCTGCGGCGTAAAGCGGCGTTTGTTTCCAGGCCGGAGTGAGACGATAGTGATAAGGTTTGGTATGAGATGGCCTGCCTACTCTCAACTGGCTGAGTGCATGATGCTTGCCAATGATGAGGGCAAGCAACGCTCGCGTGGACTGGGCTTGTCGGCTCATAGCTTGTACAACGAGGTACCCTGCCTAAATGCCGAGAGCATCGTTCTAAATCAACTTCACCACCCAGTCTCGACCTGCCGTGTGTCACAGATGACCGACACATGTAAAGGCCTTGTTGTCGAGTTGAACCTACTTTGTTCCTGGCAAATCTCTGATGAGGCGATGGAGAGGTCTGGTGTCAGTTGAGCTCGCAGCTACTATGATTTCCAACAGCCTCTGTTCCTTGTTTCAAGGTACGGTTTCTCTCAGCCCAACATGTACATTGAAGTGCGAGAGCCTCTTCGCCCGCTTCGTTCAACACCCTGGAGCGGCATAATCTCCGCGGTTTCCAGCTTGGTTGCGGTTCTGCAGTTATGCGCGTAAGGCTCGCATGGACGAGTCACCAAGGGTGAAATGTACCCTCGACCGGGGAACCTCTCGGCCACCCAGAGCTCTGTAGAATCCCGCAAGACCTTGGGCATGTCTTGAGGGGGCCCTGGACCAACATTGTAGAATGGTCGCTACAGAATTGAAAATGCGCCCAGGACAGGTGGGAGTGGCTGGTTCAGCATCACTTACAGCAACAGTCATGCGGTGCCCTCTAGAAGGATTCTGTGCGGCCTGCAAAAGCCCATTCAGCAGACAATAAAGGTTCCTTCAACACCCTGTATTGGAAGGTGTGCTCCCAGTCGCTCCAGCTCAACGGCCAGTTCTTGTTTCAGATTTTTCTTTGGGATCGACAGACGGGGTGTCCACGCGATGCGGCGAGGCGAGACCAGGTGATTGATTGCGTCAACAGACAATGTGTGAAAGACACTTTCGACTTGGCTGGAATTGTGTACACTACCGCGAAGACGGAATGCGGAGCAGCTGAGCTGAGTCTTGGTGTCGACAAACTTGGACCCAATAGATGGGGGGTCTGATAGGACCGAATGGCTGCACAAGGACGAGGCAGCAGCTTCCCCGTGCTACCAGTCCATAGGGAAAAGGCATCCAAGCCCATCATTTGCCGTGGGTGAGCTGGATCGACTTGTCATCGCCGCCAGACCTCTGGGATTGAGGCGCTTGTTGAAATCGCCGAGGTGGCGCAGGTGAGACACTACCCACGGAGATGACATGGCCCAAGAAGGTGGACTCCAAAACGTGTTGTATTGTCTGGGCTCTCCTTTGAGTAATCAATCTACAAAGAGGGGCATTTTGTAGTAAGATATCGCATCGCAGCCCATGGCTCTGCTTGCGGGCGGCCAAACCTTGGACGCGCTTCAGGTAAAACATGCCGACATGTAGCCAAGGGCACCGCTAAAGTCCCGTCTCAACCTTCTCCCGAGGCAGTCTTTAAGAATCCTCCAGCTACACGTACGGTCCAAGTTCCCTGGGGAGTAAGCGGATTCGCTCCAAACAAAAAAGCATCCGAGTGAAGGCTGCATCCAAAGAAATACATCTGCTTCGCGGCTTTCCGAGACAGGAAGACGGGGTACAATGAACTCGGTCGGCCTGGGATGTTTGATCTGTAGCCTGACCATCGAAAATCGACTACGTAGTCATGTTGCAGCTTCATGGGTGGTTGGCGGTCAGTTGAGCTCTAGCAAAGGGTCATCTGCCACGACGAAACGGCGTACACAGGAATGCTCCATGCCTCACAAACTCGCTCAAGCAGAGTATAAAACCCATGCCCAGTGTTCAATTCTGGCATCGTCTATCCTTAAGCTTCGTGTATATACTTGCAGTACATGTATATATTATTTCTCTCGTTCCCAGCAGCGCCATGAAAACCTCCATCCTCCCGGCCCTGGCCCTCGTCGGCCTGGCCGCCCCGGGACCGCTCCCCCCAGCACCGCCGGGCCACGGCCTGCCCATCGTCAAAACCACAACCACGCCCGGCGGCCAAACCCTCGACTGGGTGCCCATCTCGTCGCAGGGCGAAATCGCGCAGCCGCCGCCGCCGTCCCTCCTCAAGCGCGCACCCACCCGGCAGGACGCGGCCGTGGTGGCTGCCATCAGGCCCGCGGACGCCGGGCCCGCCGGAACAGTGCCGATCCTCCGGGCCCATGGCCCCACCATGCCGATGAAACGGCTCCCCCGCCCCGGCGACAACGCCGCCGCGGCAGCCGTGTCCGCGCGCTCCCACCAAGGGACGCACTGGTACGCGAGCACGGCGCAGAACGCCAGCAACCACGGCGGAACCGCCACCTACAGCATCTTCAAGGCCTTTGTGCAGCGCCCCTCGGACTTCTCCCTGCTGCAGGTCGCCGTCATCCGCAACGACGCCGCCCACGCCGGCACCCCGCCCAAGAGCCAGACCGTCGAGGCCGGATGGATCAACTACCCCGACCAGGTCGCCGCCCCGCACCTGTTCTCCTTCTACACGACCAACAACTACGAGTCGTACGGGGACGACGTGTGCGGCTGGAACCGCGACGTCGCCGGCTGGGTGCAGTACGACGGCGAGATCTATCCGGGCGTCGCGTTCGCGCCGCTCGCCACCGTCGGCGGCGACAGGTACGAGGCCGACATTGGCTTCTACTACTACCGGGGGAACTGGTGGCTGCACACGCTGGGCAGGTTCGTCGGCTACTACCCCGGGAGCCTGTTCTCCAGGGGCGTGGACCCGGCCGACACTCTGGACCACCACTCGGACCAGATCAACTTCTACGGCGAGATCTACAACAGCGAGGACGAAATGACCACCACTGACATGGGGAGCGGCGAGTTCCCCGACAAGGGCTTCGGGTACGCCGCCTACTTGAGGAAGATTGCCTACTACGACATGAAGGACACGTTTCAGAACTATAATGGGAGTCGCGGCGTCGTCATAAGCGACCAGAGTAGGTATAACCTGTCGGCGGTCTGGAACTCGGGGTCGGACTGGGGAAGCTACTTCTTTATTGGAGGTCCAGGGGCCGGCGGCGTCGTTGGAGCCTAGGTAGGCCGTGCCAAGTCAGGGGTAAAGAGAACAGGAAGGGCATGAGTCTGTACAATGAGATAAACAAGGAGTTGGATGGGACCAGGGCAAGGAAACAAGAAAGTCGCTGCCTTTGGGTTTTGCGGATATACTTGCCGTCACGTAGGGTTGCTTTCGTTTTCTGGTACATATTTGATTTGGAAATAACGCATAACGCATGACTCATGACAGCCTCGGTTCGCAGCACAGGAGTTCTTTGTTCTGCTGGGTACTTGTTCTGGGACATTGTCTTGTATATACATAATACACCGACTGTACATGAAATAGCACTGCTATCCACGACTTTGCCGTGTCTGACGTCTTGGATGACAGCTTAAACCGCCCATGGCCTCGTGACCAAAGCTCTTTCCGTCAGTGATGATAATTACAACATGCGTCGCCAAGGGGAGAGCCCTGTTCGAATTGTACGTAGCAACGCCAACTGTTGCCTGGTTCGGAATACCCTGCATCTCGACACGTGATAGTGCGCTGCAGAGTCGAAAAAAATGAGGCCAAGTATCTGAACTGCGCCGCGCCCAACTTGGGCGACCCTTGCCTGTTTATGATTATTCCCTCACTTGGTGTCATTCTTGCCACCTCGAGCCAAGCAAAGAAACACGGTGGATGTGTAGATAGATAACGACATGTCAGCCCTTGAAAAGAAATGATGTAAGAAATTATTGAATCAAAGTGAGACGTCGCAACAAAATTCGGCCTCGTTAGGGTAGTACAAACCTTTTTTTCAAAAGTGTAAAATAGGCACGACGCTTTGTATGCACATATGGCCGTGCAGGATATTGGAATCGTGTCTTTCTTACCTTCATTGCAAGTCAAGACACCAACCCGTAAACTCAACACACATAGCAATCCAGAAGCTGCAGATAAAGCCCTTGGCTACCTGTCTTTCCGCAATCACATGTTCCAATTCCCAAATCCCACGACCAAGGCAAGGCGCACACGCAATACATTTGATATGCTGGCAGTTGTGACAGACGGATGGATTATCTCGCCGACTGTACATAGGGGTCGGCTTTTGTTAGTCAAGCCTTGCATTTTTTTTTTCAGTATTCAAGAAAATTCGTCTGCTTTGCGGCGCAATGTAAAGCTGTGTGGCTTGGAGCCAAGCGCGCATATTGATGCAGGCCCTGCCTCTCAACGGCGGCACGAGAAGAGACCATTTGTCTAGCCCATGGCGCTGATCAGGAGCAGATCACTTCTCAGACACCTTCATGTAGCTGTGCCATTTGCTCGCATATTGGTGGTCATGTCAGCTGCGAGTACGACCTCTTGGGAGACAACGTTGCACCAAGATGATGCTGAGGGCTTTTGCCCATTTTGAAGCACTAGAGCTGGGGATAAAGTACAGTACCGAGTACCACAACAAGTCTTCTGGTCTCATTATGTGTGTGTTCCATGCCGTTTGATGAGAGGGCGGCCGCGATAGCCATTACGAGGAGCCACAGCTGTAAGAAAATTGTGGGTTTCAGTCTGGATTCTCTCTCCTTTGAACCCGGGACATGGAGACGCATAGGACTACGCGATGTGCGTTGTGCCTGCATGTTCGGTCTTGGTCGGTGCCATCCATGTACGGTGAACCACTGTAGTCACCTACTACTATTTATTACATCGACACAAAGTCCTGTCAAACTAGTCAATCAGAGACAAGACGGTGGAACTAGGGCAAAATGAAATGGCAACAAGACCCAGCCGTGGGCCCGTTCGCCAACGGGCAAGCCCCCTAGGAGCTTGGATATCTGAAGCCTATGGCTTGGTGAGCAGGTGTTATCGCCTTTAATCTGGAGAGTGTAACAGGTAGAGACAGAGTGGCTGAATGTGCTCACGGCCCATATGTACATAGGCGTAGTACCCCGTACTGTCTGATCGCTTGATCTAACCAGACTTCGGTGCAATAGATTTGAGGTTGCCTTTTCCTTCTTCCTCTTGCCCTTTTGCCAACGTCGGGGATGGGAACTAATACAGGGATCCCATTGGCTACTTTGATGCTCGACAGGGGAATCTGAAGAGCGGCTGGATGAGATTAGATTTTTCTCGCAAAGCTAGGGTTGGTTGTGGCTGCGTCAAACCAACGTCGCCTGCCAAAAACATAAACAAGATAAATGATCTGAGATTGGCGATGGGCGCCGGCCATGAAAGCATTCAAGATGAAATAACAGCCTGATCATCGATAGATCTTCTTCCAAACTTCCGTTCATAGTTGAAATGTTGGTGAAGACAACCCGACCATATCCGCATTCCAGTCAAATACAACAGGTCCACTGTTCACGGTCAGAGTGACAACAGCGAACCCTGGACATGCAGCAGCACCTTTACAGGGTTGAGCTCAAGAGAAGAGAGACAAACGACGATTGAGACATGGACCCTTGGCTCCGCGGTGCCGAGAATACTCCTTTTCTTCCCATTCAAGGGTTTCTTTTGGGCGATCATCCTGGGAATTTTGACAGGCACACCCCGTCCTGGATTCATCGTCCTAGACATTGGACCCCTCCAGCAGGATGGATTAGCCAAGATAAAAGAGCCGGAAGGAATAAATGGCAAAAGCGACCACAAGCCTGATCTCCCGAAACCATTGGCCCCTGAGCGTCGGATCTCTGTTGATCTCGACTTGGGCAAGGACTGTGCCAGCCACATCTCGGTCTAACACACTAAAAGGAGTGTAAATAGCGCCGCCACGGTGGTCAGCCTCACAAGCCTCGACGGCGGCCCGAGGATCCAGCAAGCGGCAGACGTAGAAATAACTACTTGTTCGGAGTTTTAGTGTCGAACAAGAGATGCGTGGTGCCTTGCCTGCGCAGTTGCCAGCTATGTGCTACCTAGAATGAAGTTTGATGTTGTAATCGATGGTTGTGTTCAATGCCACCAGCAAAACGTTGAATACCTAGTCAGGCAACTCGAGAGCCTGGCATCGGCTCCAAGCCGCTTTTCGAATCTCTTGGTAGTTCCAAAGCGAGGATACACGCCATCTAGACGAGACTTGGGACGTAGGCTGGGCAAATAGCACCCAGGGCTGGCTGGCTAGACTATGTCAATATGGGACTTTGGCACAGGACTACAACGGGTCGATCACAGACCCAGTACTCGGTACGTTGGATACAGAGAGTCACGGGCTCATGGGACGAAACGTCCATACCTTGCTTGTTCGTTCGTTCTGGGCTCCCAATTAACTTGCCGTGCAAGTGAAAGTCGGTGGTCGACTGGGCTGGCGTCGTATGTAATGTGCAACGTCTGGAAGCTAGTAGTATATAAGAAGCTTCCAGGCGGGTAAGTCTTTTCCCATGGATAATTAATTGATCATGGGTTTGGGATGGAGTCAAATCAGATATCAGGCAATTGCGGCCTGTGAGCACGATTCTGGGGCTCTAGAACGGCCCATGAGTGGCCAACCGTGGCCAACCGCTGGCACTTTTAATAGCGGAAGGCGCCGGTCAGAAGCGATTGCCCCATGAGTGGAATCGATGAGGGTCGCTTGGGGGTCGCTTGGGGGTCGACGGTTAGAGCTCCTGGGTGGGCAAGTGCCAGGTACCAGACGCGATACTAGAGACGAGAGTGCCAGCGAGTTGAAATGACGGGGTCCTGATGGACCTGACGGGCTGGCGCTAGGCCTTAAGCGCTCTGACGCCAGGCCAGCGTCTCCGCTGCTGGACCTGGAGCTTCGGACATGGATGTCGGAGTGACAGCACTTTCAGAGAACATTTGAAGCCCAGCAGGATGCATGACGTGTGGCAACGACAGCTCAACTCAAGCAGCAACTTGAATGCTGTCTGGTGGTATGAGACGCCATGCGGCACCCGAACGGATCAAGTTCCACTATCCGCATTCCGCCACCCACCACAAGCCATCTGCCTTGGCCCCGAGCACCAACCCGTCAAGCACCTGGAGCTATTGGCTATTAGGCCGATGGCTGACCTTTTTCCATCCCTCGTCGAGCTTGGAAGTGCCATGTTTCTTGATCACCAATACACCAGGGTTTGGCTCATATTCTTCGTGTAATCTGTCTTTGAAGACCTTGGCTGCTTTTGTCTGCTTGCCTTTCTAGACTCGGAGCACCTTGCAAATGGAGGCATGGTGTCTCTCCACTGTAAGCCAGGTCTGCACCAGGACGCAGCAATGTGCCAGGTTAAGCATGGTCTGCTGCGGCCAACCGTGCGACCAGTCTGTGCATGGGAGGAATGATACTCGAGTTGGAGAACAAGCACAAGTACTCCGTACACGCGCTGAAATGAGGTCGCCTTCTTTGTCTTCAAAATGTCAAGTAACAAGTTGTCGGTGTTGCTGTCAACGTCTGCGTCGAGTTGAGGAACATAGTTTGCTGAATTGCTTTTGCAATCTTGGTCCGGGCAAACCTGGCTGTATACCTAGATATGCCATAACGAAAGTTAAAGAAATCCACATTCTCATTTCTATCTTGGACGTCAAAGAGGCCGAGCCACCACTCACCACTGACCAGGGGTTTTTCAACTAGACGCGGATTGATGTCGCATCCGGCCCAAATGCGAATTCTTACTATACGGTGCTCCGTACATGGGGGTCGAGTGGGCTTTTCTGTCAAGTTGCAGGTGTTGTTCTCGTGTACGGGTCCAATCCTATCGACCTATATTCGCCATCAGTTAATACCGAGTAATCGAGGACAAGTTTCAACCATGACGGCGGTCTGTGGCACAACTTGCTATATCTCTCTAGATTCCAACACGGCACAAGACGACTGCGAGACATTCTTTGGTTAGGGGCCTGAGGAATGCGGACACGGGCACACAAAAAGGGACTCACCTACGGGTAACAAGTTGGCATTTCGAAGTTTGAGGTTGACATGTGGAGCTCAGCCTCTGGAGCTCAGGCGGCCGCAGCTGCCCATGTGAGAGCCTCTGAGAGGCCCCAAACGTCGGCACTCAACATTTGAAGGGAACATTGAACTGGCGCAGGTCACCTTGTGCCCGCCGAGGCGCCCACTGGAGTATTTTGCCTGGTGCGCTGGACGCCTCAAGCTGCACCGCTAGACTAGACCAGGCCTGACCAGTTGACGCCTGCGCCTGCGCCTGCCTGCGCTCGCCATGCTCTCAGCCAGCAGCAGCACCCGGCGGCGTTGGCTGCGTGTTGCACTTGACGCATCCTGTGCAGTCCAGAGATTGATCCCAGTTCCCCGTATGTACTCCGTATGCATCCCATCAATCCGTCTCCCCATCCGGTTCCACCCCTGAGTTCACAACGGAAGCTTTGCTTTGGGAGGGGAAAAAAAAATAATTGTGCAGGCTCCCACGATCCCTTTCCCCCGTTCGCTCCTCTTCCAACTCCTTTTGTCCCTCTCTCATGAGAGAAGCAGGCCTTCACTGCGGATTTCTCTTCTCCGTGGCCCTGCGTGAAACCTCGATGCCGATGCCGTCACACTCCTGACAACAGAGCTTCTTATTCTCTCCAGTCCTGGAGCTGTTGCTTTCCCCTTCCACCCCACACGTACATTCGCTCGTTATCAACCCCCCAAATCCTCTAATCTATACAGACGCTCCTTATGCTACTCGGCGGAAACCTCTCCATGGCAGAGACCGGCTCTTCAGTTTCGCCCCGACGAGCTTTTTATAATTTCACATCTTGGTGATATAGTATTTTCCCGACTATCAGTCCTGCGTTCGTTGCACCCAGACCTCTCAGCCCCTGCTCCTCGAATTCCACACCACCAAGCTGGCCTGCTGTTGGCAGCATGGGAGCTGATATGGCGTCCCAAAATTCCGAAACGACCCCCGCCAAGCTCAGTGCGCCCAAGGACAAGAAGTGTCCTTATTGCAAGCAAGCTTTTACTTCCTCTTCGCTCGGCCGGCATCTCGACCTCTACATCAAAGAAAAGAATCCCAAACCACCAGATGGCCTTCACGATGTGGAAGCTATACGGAAGCTGCGAGGAGGCATTACGAGGCGGCAAGCCCGTGGCTCTCTCGGTGCGCGCAAGGATTCGACTCCCGCTGGAACACCAAGACCTGTCCCGAAACGGGAAGCTTCCAACCAAGAGATTGAGCCAATGGGTGCTGCCCCCATGCCGAAAGACGGCACTTATGCAGCTGACTCGTCTTTTAGCAAGTTCCCCTTTGTGCCGAGGTGGGAAGCTACTGGCGTCATCAATGATATTCCCTCCAAGGGCTCTTGGGATGGGGATGCCGGATCAGAACCAGCGAAACGCCCGCCAATGCAAAGGACAGTAAGCAAGCAAGCAGTCCAAAAGGCCCAATTCGATATGAAGCAGAAGCTGTCAGATGCTATGGACAACGCCCGAGCTGCAGAACTTGCCCTGCGAGAGCTTCTGGGCTCGTGGAGGGCAGCCAAGTATGTGTCTGTCTTGTTCCTGTAAAATGAGACCAACTTTCCAGAATTACGCTCTAACATTTATAGGCAACACATTGATAATAGCTCCATGCCATTTGGTTTTGATCCCCTCTCTCTCGACTTTCCAGCTCTTACACTACAGTGCTTGCATCCGCCGCCAACCCTGTTTTCTTCTACACAGCATCCTACGTCTACATCTTGGTCCGTGCAATCTCCGGGGCAGCGAGAGTTTAAAGCCTTGAGGTCATACTTCAATGAGGAGTTCAGAGCTTGGAAAGTGACGTGTGCAGCTGCCACAACCGCGGCGTCTGAGGAACTCGCTTACCCCCCAACAGGGCATTTGCAGAAAGACACCCGTGACGCTGTTAAAAAGGCCGAGAAAACAGCGGAAAATTTAGAGAGGCAGGTGGAAGAACACCTGCAGTCCGCATATGCTGTGTGGGATTCGCTGCCCGGGCAGCGGCAACAAGAGCTTTGGATCCTAGAACTTGCGCGTGGGGTTGGCAGGAAGCACAAGGAAATGGAAATCATAAAGGAGCAGCAGCATCGATTGAAACAAGAGAATGCACACTTAAAGATGCAGATTGATCAGCTGAATCGCCTGCAACAGCCCCGCGAGTTCAAGCTTCTGTCACCGTCGACTATCCCGATAGATCGCGACGTGATTAGTTATGCATATGAGCAAGGCGTGAGAGGTGGCAAGAGTGTCGGCTTTGACATGGAGGACCGCCACGTGGATATCGCAACAGTTGTCGCCAAGTCGATTGAAAGGTGGAAGAACGTAATTATGTCGACTCGTGTAACCTCGAGTGGAATGAGTGCACAACGGCCATTGGATCAACCAGCTCAAACATCAGTCAACTTGAATAGTCCATCGAGTTCACAATCGCAAGGTCTGTCTCAGACGATGCAGCAGCAGCAACAACAACCAAACAATCAACCTCCAGCTCAAGCCAATAACCCTAGCGAAAAGAGACTGTCCACAGCTAGTACGTCCGGACCTATCAGCGAAAACACGGCCCCATCCACCAGTACCACTGGACCACCATCGATCGCGGAGGAGGAAGAAGGGGATCAAAACGATGATGTCAGCGATCAGGATGCGGATGCCGAGATGGAAGACGACGATAGCTTTGCCATTATGAATGCCTCTCCAGCAAAGCATGCCCACGCACCAATGCAACAAACTGCGGCGCTTGAAGTCCCACGGACCCGAGGGCTTGTCCAACAACAAGGAGCTTCACCAGACATGCGGTTCATGATGCAAAATGGAGCGGCGAGTCCTGTTGGCCGGTCAGCTATGACAATGACTAGGTCAATGCCAAATATGAACATGGCAATGCAGGGAAATCATATGCATGGTAGTGACATGTCCATGATGCAACAGGTACGTGGAGACATGTACATGGAGCAATGACCTGCTAAGGTAGCCTCTATAGCAGCAAGATGCTAAAGGGACTGCCAAGAGCGAACATTTCTGACCATGGAGGCGTGGTTGAAGAACAAAATCCAAAACGGAGCTGGGAGAAAAGACCCAGAGAAAAGTTCGATGAATTTACCCATTTATACGATCCGCGGACATTGTAATGAATAAGGAACCATTTCATTTTGGCGGCTTCTGCAGCTGCTCATGATGTGTTAGTATGAACAACAAAAGTTTTGAGTTAGAATTTTCCAAGCCTTCGGTTCTATTTTCATTTTTCTTTCAGAATTAGGTTCGTCTGCATACTGGGCGGGTGGGTACGCATGTTAACGAGAACCAAGACTTTAATGCAAATACATTCTATTTTGTGGGACACATGAATCTAGAGAAAGAAAATTGAGTCGAGAGACGACGTAACCAACCCGGTATCTATGTGCACCCACCCGTCTTTTTGTTCCCCCTTTATTCTATAACGATGTTGCCTCGTTCTTTTACTTGTACAATATTAATACATTTTCAAGCGCTGCCTGGTTGATTATTGCTTGAGCTGCTTTAGTCGCTGCTCAATCATGCGCAGCGTTGGCCTGGGTACTCTCAGCCGATGTGCCAGGACCAGGGCGCCTGTCAGGACAGCGAGGCTACCAGCCTGGTGAGCTGCGGCCAGGGGGATCGGCACCATGTAAATCAGCGTGGATATACCGAGGGCAACCTGCATGGAAGCAAGATGAACTAGGCCTGTAGCTCCCTTTTTTGCATCCTTGGGCAGAGCGGCAGCGACACGACCCGTCCGGGAGTAGGCAAAGAGGGCCAAAATGGCACAGAACGTCGAAACGGCGAGAATACGATGGTCCATTTGCACGGTGCTGGGGTTCTCGAGTATGTTGCGCCACCAGAGGTCAGAGCCATCTTCCTTGCGGCAGTAAAATTTGTCCCAGAGCTCGGCTTTCGGTGGTGTCAGGCCTAGACCCATCTTGGGGAATTCATTGTAGATGAGGCCCGCGTCGAGGCCGGCAACCAGGGCTCCAGACATGATGGTGATGAAGGTGAGGGTTGCAAGTGCAAAGACGGAGCGGCGGAAGGCATTCAGCGCAGGGTTCTGGAGGGCCCGAAGCGCCGACATGGCGGCTTTGGGGTCGGCAAGGAGTCGGTGCGTGCGGAGGATAGCCAGGCCGGAGAGGAGCATCCACGAGTAGCAGACGAATGCGGTGGCCAGATGTGCAGTGAGGCGGTATTGCGAGACGCGAGGGTGCGAGCCGGGGGCGAACAAGTCGTCCTTTAGACCGGACTTGACCATCCACCAGCCGATAAAGCCTTGGAAGCCAATGAGGGCGGATATGCCTACGAGGTTGAAGGCCATCTTGGTGGTGACTCTCCGGCGGGCGATGAGGTACACGGTGGGTAGGACGAAGGATAATCCAATGAAGCGGCCCCAGACACGATGTGCCCATTCCATAAAGTAGATCTTTTTGAATTCATCAATCGTCATGTGTGGGTTGAGAAGCTTGAATTCCGGGGACGCTCGGTATTTCTCGAATTCGGAGTCCCAGTCTTGTTGAGACATGGGAGGTAGTGAACCGGTAACGGGACGCCATTCCGTGATGCTAAGTCTACAATTTGATTGCATGTTAGACGAATCATGCTTGTGAACATTTACCGAGGTAGTAATGGGCTGATGTTGCGTACCCAGATTCAGTCAATCTCGTCAGACCTCCCCAGACGACGATGCCAAACACACTGACGGCGCTACCAATCAACCAATATGCCACACTCTTGGGGTTGGTTTTAGGTAAAGCCGTCTTGGAGAGTTCCTGGGCGTGCATAGATGCAGATCGGGAAGCAACATGGTCGGCCATTGTTCCCAGCGGCGTCGTGGGTTTCGCGTCCGCAAAGCTTCGAGATCGTACGACATTCAGAATGCGCGATGCGAACCGTGGCCGTGACGCAGCGGTTTGTCGGAGGCATTGGTTGCAGACGAAGAACCTGGAGGGAGCCTGTAGGGCTACCCTCCTTATTCCAGGAACAATGAGAGCCATGCTGCCGTGACGCTGATGGCAACCAGCGACAAGAAGACAGAGGTGCGATGGTCGACGGGTATTCGGAGGAAAAGTCCGTGGTTCCAGATGCCGAACATGAACGCAGGCGGAAATAAGAGTGAGCTGATAGGTGGGACCGCGACCCAAGGGTCCCCGCCAAATATTGGCTGCTCACCGCCAATTTTTTTAAGGCCGGCAGAAAATTGGTGCAAGAGTCTTTCTTCACTACTGCCACCAAAATAGTCGCCACAATTACAAGGACAAAAACAGAACGGCCATTCGTTTCCGAAAAAAAAAATGCCGGGACGACAATCGCATGGCCGGTCATTAATGGCCGCGCCCAAGGCCAAAGCGGGCGGGAAAAAGGGCTCCAAGGCGAGGTCGCAGAAGAATGCTCTCAATGCCTTTGGAATTGCGCAGGATATGTACCCCACGAAATACAAGAGAACGCCGCGAGCAAGGGAACTCGATGCCGAAATTGAGAGAAAACATGGACGAGACGAGGCTGGCGAGGACGAAGACGAAGACGAAGATGAGGAAGAGCAGCCCCGAAGAAAGAAAGCCAAGGGTCCATCACGGGCAGATGACGACGGCGAGGATGGCAGTGACAGTGAAGGCAATGAATGGCGCTTGGGCGGTTTGAGGGACGACGACGACGATTCTGAAATAGAGAGCGATGATGCATTTGGAGATAGTGACAATGAGAAATTTGAGGAGTATTCATTCCGAGGCAGCAAGTCGAAGCCTGTACGTTACTGGAAAGTTGTACGACATACGTGGGTTCTGCTAATGATCTAACAGAAGGATGACGACTCGGAAGATGACTCGAATGATGACGAAGGAGAAACTCTTGGTGCAGATGCTATTGATTTGGCGACCGCTCTGGATCAGTGGAAGGAGGAATCAGATGACGAGCCCGAGGCGGACGACGAATCTGGCTCTGGGGATTCAGAAGAGGACGGAGACGAGTCGGAGGAGGATTCTGAGTCTGACGATGACGAAAGTGAAGACGATGATGATGCCGAAGCTGACCCCGAAAAATTGAATGCGTTGAAGGGACTCATTTCACAGTACGGTGGCGAAAATGATGATAACGACAAAACAAAGTCGAGCGCCGGGGAAAAGCTTTCTCTCAAAGACTTGGGTCTCTCAGGACTGAATGATCCATTAATGAAAAAGTCCCTCAAGCTGATGAACAAGGAAGCCAAAGAGAAGCGACCCGGTGTCGCTCAGAAATTGGCTGTGCCACTCTCCCGACGGGAGCAAGGTCGGCTGGACCGAAGCGTTGCATACGAAAAGACCAATGAGACCCTAGATAGATGGACGGAAACTGTCAAGCAGAACCGCAGAGCCGAGCATATCGTGTTTCCGCTTCCTCAAAATTCAGCCACGGCCGGCCTTGACACTTCGGAGATTCAGCCTCTCAGCTCAGCCAAGCCCAGCAACGAGCTCGAATCTGCCATCATGTCTATCATGGAACAGAGCGGTCTTTCTATGAACAAGGAGCCCAAGCCCAAACCTCAAGAGTACGACGACGAGGGTAACTTGCTCTCACGAAAAGAAGTCCTGGCCCGAAAACGAATGGAGCGAGAACTCAATTCCAGAGAAGCAAAGCGAGCTAAGCGCATCAAAAAGATCAAGAGCAAAGCATATCACAGAGTTCACCGAAAACAACGGGAACGCGACGAAATGGCTGCCAAGGAAGCTATGGAGGAAGCCGGAGAGATTGACTCCGAAGAGGAGAGAGAAGCACAGGACCGTCGACGCGCCTTAGAACGTGTTGGCCAGCGGCACAAGGAGAGCAAATGGGCCAAGATTGGATCCAAGACGAAGCGTGCCGTCTGGGACGAGGACTTCCGCACCGGCTTGACAGAAATGGCAAGAAAGGACGAAGAGCTTCGTCGACGAAAAGAAGGCAAGGCGGGCGTCGACGGCGACTCTGACTCCGATGCAACCAGTAGTTCGGGCAGTGATGACGAGGACGATATTCGACGCCAGCTAAGGGAGCTGGAAGAGGACGACGACGAGCCTCAGTCAAAACTGATGAGCATGAAATTCATGCAGAAGGCCGAAGCGGCCAAGAAACAAGCAAATGACGACATGATTCGTCAAATCCGCCGCGACCTGGATGGCGACACGGCAGACGACTCCGACGACATGCAAGCCGACGACGAAGTCGGCCGCAGAAGCTACGGCACAGCAGACTCATCCGCCAAACCCGCCCTCGACACATCAACCCGTGCGCCCAAACGCAGCCGAGTGCCAGGGCCCCAAGATACAGACGTCGACATCATCATCAACAACACCACCTCCACCACGAAGCAGCCACCAGAACCTTCATCCTCCACAACAGGCGCCTGGTCACGCGGCGAAACGCGGCGCAAGAAATCCGCCCCCTTGCGCGGCGAAGACCTCGATCTGAGCGCCAACGTCCTCGTCGCCTCGCAGCCAAAATCCAAGCCCACAAACAGCAACAGCAACCGCGACAGCGACAACCGCAAAAACGATAGCGACGAAGATGACTCCGAAGCAGAACAGCACATGCCCCTCGCCATCCGGGACCAGGCCCTCGTGGCACGCGCCTTTGCAGGAGATGACGTCGTCACCGAGTTCGCCCGCGAAAAGGGCGAAATCGCCGAAGCAGACGACGACAAGGTCATCGACAACACCCTTCCGGGCTGGGGGTCCTGGGTCGGCGACGGCGTCAGCAATCGCGAGAAAAAGAGGCACCAGGGCCGCTTCCTAACAAAAGTAGAGGGCATCAAGAAGAAGGACAGGAAGGACGCCAAGCTGGACAAGGTGATTATCAATGAGAAGAGGATCAAAAAGGTACAGTTGTTGCCCCCCCCCCCCCCAAATTCCCCGCCGACCGTTTATCGCGTCATTTCATTACGGCATCTTGCCTGGGAAGCAGTCGGACTAACAAGACAATGCAACGTAGAATGATCGCTACCTCGCGAC